ACTATTATTGAAGGTTTTCATTTATTGAAAGAGTGTCCATACAGCAAAAAAAAAAGACAAAGCATTGACAAAGTAAGATAGAATGCGTAGAATTGAATGGAGAAAAAAAGACAGGTAGTTGCACCTCCATATTGAATAAGGCCTGGTGAAAAATCAAAAATTCTACAACAACCATTGTCGTCACTTTATTTATAAAGCCACTCTAATCTGATCAACTTTCTTTCTCTTACCTTTCAGAAAATAGCAATACTGTCATTATTAAATCGTTGAGACCCTGTATTCTCACATCAATTATGGGATTCATTATTTAATTGTTCTGTATATTTCAGGTGTTCTTTCAATGAAGCGACTGCCTCCTACCGTAAATAATTCGCAGTTCTGTATCACCTTCACGAGGATAGAACAACTCGATCACAAGAACGTCGTATTCGGGAAAGTTGTGAAAGGGAACGCGACTCTATTCAAAATCCAGAATTATGGTCGAGCGATCGGCAGACCTTATGTTGATATCATTATATCAGATTGTGGAGAAATAAAGTGAATAAATTTTTCTGATTTTGACATACGTACTGAGAACGTCCGACCAAGACGCTTTGAACGTACTGGGGACGTCCAGATTAGGACCGTAGACGTACTAGGGACGTCCAGGTTCCGTGCATTTGTTCATCCCCAGTACCACCTGGCTACACCTGGCGTTTTTTGATTGTGAAAGCTGTTTTTTCCTTATCTGCCGGATCCATTTCCACCTGCCAATATCCACTTTTCAGGTTCAGAGTAGAGAAAATATTCGATTCCGCCAACGTGTCAAGTGTGTCGTCAATTCGAGACAAAGGATAGCTGTGCTTCTTCGTCACGTTGTTCAATCGGCGATAGTCCACGCAGGAACGATTGTTCGCATCTTTCTTCGTTACTAGGACTACTGGTGAAGCCCACGGACTATTGGATGGCTCGATAACCCCGTCCTGTTCCATATCCTGGATGATCTTTTCTGTATAGATTTTGTGACTCACCATGTTGGTTCTACCTGTTTTGGCAGGTACTAAAATGGTTTTATACCTTCGCAATAACTCGGTTAACTTCTTCTTCTGTCGGTTGTTGAGTGAGTTTCTTGCAACAGAGACGAGTTCTTCATACTTGCTGGTTTCATCAGTGGTTGCTGTCAGCTGGTGGATAATGGAGGCAGCCGAGACACAGGTTCTAATGTTCGTTCCTTTGCCAATCGTCACAGGATAATTATTTATGTTGATAAATCGAACACGTACATGGTGTTCTGCTGACAGTAAAACCTTGCCGACTAATATTTCTCGTCCCACTTCCTCGACATGGTTCCAGGGTTCCATGATGATGGGACTGCCTTGCTCCAATGTACCCTCAATCCTAGCTGCTACAATGGTCTCGCTCCGTTTCGGTAACAGGACGTCCTCTTCTAACGTTACCCCTGCCGCTACCTCCATTCGTGGATACAAGAAGATCTCTTCGACACCCACCTTAAGTGTTCTGCTTCTGAATTTCAGTTGAATCCCGTGCGCACCCATGATGTCCATTTCCAGGATAACATCTTCTTCTTCATCAGCTATGGTAGCTCGATGTGGAGATTTGATGGTTCCAATCGTTATATCCACATCTATTTCCCCATAGACGGTGACAGCTTCGCCCGTAGCAGTTCGCAGACGCCATCTTGAATTCACAAGTGGTTTCCTTGGAGATGTCAGAAGTCCATGTCACAGGAGTGTCTTTGATGCACCAGTATCCACCAACGCACATTTCTTTCCGTCGATCAGTCCATCTACGTAGACGCTGCTGTTATCACGCCGATGGGATGCCACGAAGATGAGGGGGTCTTGAGAATGACGGGTCGAAGCTGGTTTTCTTGTGATCGTCCTGCTTCAGTTTTCCTGCAGTCGTTTGAACTGGTCTCTGTTTCTCATTCAAGAGGCCCTTGATAGCGTTTATTAAGGCTTCAATAGGATCTTGCCTGAAATTTTCCTCTATGTTTTCGCTGTCATTCATTGCTCGGACTCTGGCTGATCCTCGGGAAGCTTCTGCTGCAGCTTCTTTCTCAAGCGCAGCTGCCAGAGCACTCGTGAGGTCTTTTGGTCGAGTCAGGCGAACTGCTTTCTTCATTTCGATATCCCGCAATCCATCCACGAACGTTTGAACAGCTAGACATTGCATAAGGGACTCTGGGGCTGACGGGTAGGCACAGTGGATCAATCGTGCTACATCCACTTGTGATTGAAACACTTGCTGAAGATGTTCGTGGCCATACCTAGCTACCACTTTCTCCCTTTATGTCCACCCATTGGCTTTGGAAGCTGCTTCGAACTGCTTCAGATAGTTTGGCAATGATGTTTTTCCATCAAATGTAGGCGGCTTCACTCGATTGGTAGTAGTCACTGCATCTGGCCCTACTGTGGTTTCAATCATGAGTCGTTTACCATTTCCAGACTTCTCCAGCACAGCTATTCTTTCTATTTCGAGCCGCAGCTTTTTCTTCATTTCTTCTATCTGAGTGGTGAATTGGGTTGAAACCTGAGCTATAATCTTGTCCTGCTGAGACGCGATCTGTTCTTGCTGAGCAGCGATCTGAGTCAGAACTTCTTCCCGATGTGTTGATATATGAGTCAATATTTCTTCTCGTTGGGCTGATATCTGGGAGGCGATCTGATCTTGCTGAGCAGAAATATCGTCTCGTTAGGCTGAGATTTGAAAGGCTATCTGATCTCGCTGAGCTGAGATCTTCTTCTGCTGAGCACGCATCTGATCCGCGATCTCTTGGTGAGCCGTTATCTGTTCCGAGATCCCAGCCAACTTCGATTCCGCTGAAGCTGGTTCCTCGAAGGTGAACGTCTCTGAATCTTGACCTACGCTCACCATATACTCTTTGAGACGATGCTGAAGTGTTGCCTTGTTTAGATCTCTGTCCATCAACTCGCGTTCCAAGTCCACCATTCCCAACTCGTGTAGTTTCGTCATCGTTACTTATTCATTTATTTATTTATTTCTTACACTGTTCAACAGGTTGCCCCAATTACAGAACAGGAAAAAAGGACAAAACAAAAACATATGCATTGCATACTACATAAGCATACCGGATAGACGAAACAATATGACAAATTTGTAAGGACCTTTATTTCTGGGGCCCTCACTTTGGCGCTTGTTAAACAGACTTCTGGAAGCTGTCGGGGTGTCTCGAGCACAGTGAAGAAAACACAGAGGCTTTAATTAAAGACCCTTGGGGAATCCTGGAATACTGGGTGCTATGAATGAATGTTTCTAATTAATACTTTCATTCATGAGTTGGATTGATACCATCCCAATACGGATTATCACAAATATGGTTTCTGGAATGGAAATGACTTTGTACCTTATCAGGACAGGAAAATCAGAAGCACGTAGACAGGTCGAGTACAGGTTTATTAAATTTCCTTTTTGTCCATCAATTGTTATACGAAATCCTACAGGTAAATAAATTATCAATAATTCACAATTCATACATTCACATACATGTTTATATAATTAATTTGAACTTCCTATTGACAACGGACGTACGAGCGACAGTCCCGAGGAATAGTTTGATCCACTGGGCATATGCAAACACCTTAGATCATTAAATTATCAAGTAGCATTTGCAAAGGTTAGCCAACAGGCAAGCAGAAAAGTGAAAGAAAAATAAATTCGAGCAGGAAAATATATGGCGTTAACTTGACAAGCAGGAAGAAAAAAAAATAGGCAGGATAATTAAGCAGTGCAACAAAGAAAAACATCAAAGCCCGGAAAGCGAGGACGAGTGCAGGTTTAGTGTAAGAACGAATCCTGTTGAGTTCTATACAACCAAGAAAGGCAATTTTAGCTTTCTCCTGGTTGACCTGGCTTTCTGCACAAGCACTTCCCAGAGGTAGTGGAATATATGCTGAAATCAGAGACACGGATTTAAATCAAAATTATACCGAAACTGGAATTGAAAATTCACTGGAAACTGGATGAATATAAAAGTACTTACAGGACTGGATAATACAGAACCGGAAAAAAACTTTTCAAAATATCGATACCGAACTGGACTCTGAAATCGAAAGCGAGTGGACAGTCTCTTCACTTCACAGTGGAAGATCCCACTTCTGACACCAATTGTTACTTTATTCGGGTGCCGAAGCGAACAGAACACTATTAATTTTCGAATTGATTTATTTTAACTAACGGAACGCTAATTTATATCGAACTTATAACTATTATTTATGTAGAACGATTTATATTACGCACGCGGTATATGACTGTCTCTGACGCTCGCTGCTTGATTGACTGACGGCAGTTATCCGGCCGTCCATATATATGAGATCCCTTGGTAGGCTTTGCTTCTCGAACGTTCTCATATGATCTTCCGTTCACTTCTTTTTGTTCTAGAAGCTTCTTAGAACAATACCTCTCTCTCTCTAATTATTCCATCGATTGTTTCCAGAACATTCCAGAATCTTCTGTCAAGTTATTTGTCTCCACGAAATATATTGAGTGTTCGGAAATAGGCTCGTACATGTAGGAATCATTGGGATGTTGGAGAACAATCTGGGATGCGTGTTACAGGATGATCGTTGTACTCCTGCCTTCCTGATGATGTTTCTAGAGCCTCTCTAAGGGGAATATCATTAAAGTATACTGAATCACATTGATTCAGTTCTATTGGAAAGTATTATGATCTTTGATATACATGAGAGCATCAACGCGACCGAAACCGCCGGTAAAAGCTAGTTTGATATAAATTTTAAGTCAACTGAAATAAAGTTTAAGTTCTCAGTTAGGGACATATTATTTTTATCCTCGTTTTTATCTTTATCACAAAACTTAATTTGTATGCCATAGGAAAACATACCTAACATTTTATGTTGGGGTCAATTCAATAATATTTATTGTGATGTAGGTTGGATGTTTTGAATATGTTCAAGTAAATTACATATTGATGGGCTAAAAAATGAGGAAAATAATTCATCATCACTATCATTATTATTATCATTATATTGTGAAGTAAATTGTTATAATCACAATAGAAATTAATAAATAACTACATAACTGATTATATTTACTAAGGTTTTTTAACAGTAACATTAGATAAGAAATCTGATGATAGGAGAGAATGAAGTTTACTTTTAATCATCAGAGAGTTAACACTTAGTGTCTTCAGAGACATGACAGCATTTTGCATAGTTAGTTGAGAACGAAGCAACTGTTGCTCAATGTTGTTCAGGTTTCTACTTGCTTGGGATATCACATTTTGATAAGTACTTTCAATATTGTTGTATAATTGAATGTTGCAGTCTCCTAAAAAATTTGAACTATGAATATTAGATTTCCATAATGAAGAAAATCTAGGGAAAGTATACTCAAATAGATTTATAAACTCATTAAACTGAAGAATTGACAATTGAATTCATAATCCAAGAAGCTGATTTGTTGAATATTTTGAATAGACCAATCAGATTCCAAAAGATTACTTATTTAATTATTATAATCTAGTTTATAGTTGAGTTGATAACTCCACCATTATACAGGGTGTCCCTAGGCCAGTGGGACAGTTAAATATCTTCTGCACCAATAGGAATTTTCAAAATATTATAATTCCACATCATATCGCATCATGAGTGCTATCTTCAGGAATGACTATATTTTCTACGAGGGGCACAAGAAAGGCTCACAAAATCGAACATCAATTTTTTCAAATGGAACACCCTGTATTTTATTGCATTTTCATAATCTCCTTGAAGAGCTGAATTCAACGACCTAGCACACTTGGGCTCTAGCGGGAATGATTTCCGAGATATAGGGTGTGGAAAATCGAGATTTTTCATTTTTGGGAATTTTTTGTGTCTAAATTATTCATTATGGGTCAAAACGGCTTACATATCCATATCTTTACTTTTGATTTACTATTCACTCGTATTTAATTGAAACAAATACAGGGTGGTGTAGAATTCTCAGGTTCAGTCGGAATTCCACACCACCCTGTATTTGTTTCAATTAAATACGAGTGAATAGTAAATCAAAAGTTGAGATATGGACATGTAAGCCGTTTTGACCAATAATGAATAGTTTTGACACAAAAAATTCCCAAAAATGAAAAATCTCGATTTTCCACACCCTATATCTCGGAAATCATTCCCGCTAGAGCCCAAGTGTGCTAGGTCGTTGAATTCAGCTCTTCAAGGAGATTATGAAAATGCAATAAAATACAGGGTGTTCCATTTGAAAAAATTGATGTTCGATTTTGTGAGCCTTTCTTGTGCCCCTCGTAGAAAATACAGTCATTCCTGAAGATAGCACTCATGATGCGATATGATGTGGAATTATAATATTTCGAAAATTCCTATTGGTTCAGGAGATATTCAACTGTCCCACTGGTCTAGGGACACCCTGTATACCTACCTACTCATTATTAGGAACTAGTATTAATTATTGTTCAATCAGCTATGTACTTACTCAGTTTCTGATGGAATAATGAGTCATATGTATTTTCTTCCTCTGGCGTCTCCATTGTACTCTCTGGGTTGAAGTTCAGAGCAGATAGAGCACTGGCAATACTAGCTTCACTTTCTGGGAAAAAAAAATTGTAGTTAATTAGGTATGCCTGCCTGTACAAACTGGAGTCTAGCATCTAGCTGACTTCCTGACTTACCGTTTTCAGATTCTGAATCTTCACCTGTAACTATTGCGCCTTGTACGGATTTTGTCATAATATTCACCTGCAAATAACATATATTTCGATGTCAATTCAAAAGTATCGACAAAAAGTATTGAGAAATGAATTGATATCTTTTACTTTATCATCTGCATCATTTTCACTATCGGTTTCGGAAGCTTCGCCACTAATTATCACTGGTTTACTCATGTTTTAAATACTAAATACTTTAAAAATCTTCAAATAAAAGAAGGAATTAAAAACATTGAATTGGATAAATTGGATATTCAAAATAAAATAATAAAAATTTGCAACAAAAACAAGAGACTGTCTACACGACCGCCACGGCGGTTGCATAGTGATATACTGACACAGTGACACAATTGATGAAATAAACCTCGTGACACATAAGAAGCTCTACTGTGACATAAGCAACCGCCGCAACGATTTCACTTCCTTCTTCATAGATAATACTTTCCGAGGAAAGCAATAGTTCAGTTTAAAGTCTCTTGGATGGAAATTGACGTTAGAGCAGTCATCTTAACAGGGTACGGACAGATCCTCGTCTCCTCTCACTCTAAAAGTGTTTGTGAAACAGTTATATAGTTCCATCTTCATTCAATTCTGAGGATAAACACTTTGTAAACACTAGAATTTTGACATTTGTTGGTTTTTAGGTTATATTGAGGTCATTGGCGACATTGGCGTATCATACGTAATTTCTGATTCAACTATACCAAGATATACTTGAACAATCCTCTACTCTACAATCTACAATCTCTACAATCCTACTAAAAGCTTAATATATATTTCACCAAAAAAAAAACTGTTCTTAGACTGTATACCAGGGTTGACTGAATTGAATGAATGAATTCTGATTTCAAGCTGAGCAGTAGTTTTACTATGAGCTGAATGAGCTGAGACTTATGATTGAGAAATGGTGAAAACTTCGATGTGGGTATCTGAACCACTGTACTCATGTCATACCTATATGTGCTATAAATATATTTTCGGAATTCCAAATCGGAGAAAAATTCATGGAATGACTAATTCTGGGACGAAAAGAAGGCTTATAAAAAGTAATACGTGAAATTGCAGGAAAATGAAGAATGGAATATACTTCTTGATTTTTCCGTCTCCCTTAAATAAAAAGTCATTTCCAAATAATTTATTGATGAAAGTAACAAAGAAGTTAAAGGTATACAGTATAACTCGGTATAACTTATATATGGGCACGTTCTTTTCACTCTTGCATCCTACATATTGTTACGATATTCGGGTGCAGAAGCGAACACGACACTATTTATTTTCGAACTGATTTATTTGAACTAAAGAAACACTAATTCATATCGAACTTATAAATACTATTTATGTAAAATAATTTATATCACGCGGTATATAACTGTCTCTCTGACACTCGCTGCTGGACTGACTGACGGCAGTTGTTCGGCCGTTTATATATGAGATCCCTTGGAAGGCTTTGGTTCGAGAACGTTCTCGAATGATCTTCCTCTCCTTCTTTTTGTTCTAGAAGCTTCTCAGAACAAAACCTCTCTCTCTAATTGTTCCATCGATTGTTTCCAGAACATTCCAGAATCTTCTGTCACGTTATTTGTCACTGCGACATATATTGAGTGTTCGGAAATATGCTGGTGTATGTAGGAATGATTGGGAGATTGGAGAACAATCTGGGATGCATGTTACAGGATGATCGTTGCATGTACTCCTGTCCTACTGATGATGTTTCTAGAGCCCCCCTAAGGGAAATATCATAACAATATTTTCAATCTGAGGTAGAGTAATAATTATATAAAGTAATGTTGAAAGTGAAATTTGAGCAGTGGTTATTTGAATACCACGTAGAAGTGAGATCTGGAGCCAATGCATTTTTCGTGATATTTTCATAAAAAACTTCAGTGACCCACAATTTGGTTCGAAATATTTTGCTATTTTGTGAGAGATTGCTGCACATACCCTTCAGCGATATTCGTAGACTTCCGAGCAAAACTGTCTACTCCACAATTTGCAAGTCAACTTGCCGAGGTTTTTCTGAAATTATATGCCCGGTATAATTTATGACAACAGGCAGTTTTGAAAATTATGCATTTTTTTGCGAATTTTAGCAATATAATTCTTTCCAACCATTTGGTACATTTTCCTCCTCTATAGCAGACAAAAAAACGTGTCTGGTATATTGACTATTGAATACCATATGACATCACTTCAACTTTTTCTCCCAAGCGAGAACCATTATACTTCTCCTCTGCAAACTGACGTATTTGTCATCTAACAAGGTACAGATCTAGTGACTTTGGTTTCGTGTATTGGCGTCCCTAACATGACATTGCTGTCACGTCACATACGGTCACATTCATAGGCGTTGAAAGAGATCTTACAAAATTTTAATTTCATACTTGATCTTATAATATACGACATTATTCAATTCTGTTTTGGAAGGATGGTAAAATGTGCTTTGTTAGGCTATATCAATTAGTTGGATGACAAATTTGAACGTGATCTGGTGGACAATAAAATATTGACCGCTGATTGGTATAAAAATGTGTCTCAACCGAAAGTCATGGTTACTTCTTACATGGTTTTAGCAGGTAGGGTTGGCGACACTGACAAGTGATTATCGTATTTCATACATCCTTAAATCATGAATCATATTTAATTCGAAATTAAAAGGAAGTGGATAGGCTGCCGACTAGTCGGCAAACTATACTTTTTCTCTAGAGACTGCCGACCAATCAGTGGAATACATTCTTTCTGCATGAAATCGGTCGGCTACCAAAAAAAAGTGTAGCATGCCGTCTGGTCGGCAGTCTATATTTTTTTTGGATGCTGACCAGTCTACAGAGTATACTTTTTCTCTAGACTGCCGACCAGTCAGTGGTACGAAAGCGCTGAACGGACATAATACTTTTTTTATATAATTGCCAGTTTGAACTGGCAATCAGCCATAATTGCCAGTTTGATCTGGCAATTAGCCATAATTGCCAGTTTGAACTGGCACTTAACTATAATTGCCAGTTTGAACTGGCATTTAGCTATAATTGCCAGTTTGAACTGATATTTAGCTATAATTGCCAGTTTGAACTGGCATTAAGCGCTTTCGTACGAAAGGACCCCGCAAATGGAATGTCACAGTTCAAGCAATGACAGCTCTGTCTGATAGATATGCCCATTACTTGAGAGGAAATCAGATGGCTACAAGACGAAGAAATCAAAAATGTCGCTGTTATCTGTCACAGCCGTAGAAAAATTATGGTGTATATAACTCGCAGGGAATGCTAATTTCCCACTCGAATGATTGCAGCATTATTTGCCCACGGCTCATGCTGCGAATTTCATTCTCGGGGAAAATCACTAACATTCCGTTCTTGTTGAACAATATTCCATAGGTCTCTAACGACAAAGTGGAGTAATTGAATGCCAATAATTCATTATCAGTCCACTCGCTTTTCCCAGCGAGCACAAAAACATCTCAGAGATGTTAAAAGTATGAGATTTCGAGACATTGAACCTCCACTGCGATATGTCACAAAACTACCTTCTCCCTAGTTCTTTTTGAAGCCTTTTCATGGACACAACAGAACATTTTCAACGCGTCTTGCGCACATTAAATCGCTGTGAAAAAACAATTTCGAGGTACTTTTCTGAAGCCTTTTGTCAAAATGAACTTTTGCATTAGGATTCCATTTCCCTTGAATGAAAAAATGCATTAAAAATAGATTGAACATAAAAATATTTTCTTGATATGAAATCACCTTCTTAATCGGTTTCTGAGTAGTGCTTACTACACACAGACATATAATTGGAAATAGGTTTCCCAATTTTTGGAATGTTCTCCACAATGCATAATTTTGCAACTGCGCCCAGACAGCACCAGATATTCCATGAATCTCCCTATCATATTCCTTTTGGAATATTGGAATATTCTAGAAATAATCTGGAATATTCCGGAATATCTGTGGAATATTCTCAAAATATGCGAATGGGAATTCCTCAGATAATCATAGAATATACCCAAAAGAATATTCTATGTTGAATGTTCCTGGAATATTCCAATAAACATATTCTAAAATTAAAAAAAGTGATCCAAGTAGGTATCGAACTCACATCTCTGAAATAATAAATGTTATTCATGTGTTGAGAAACATAGGAATATTCATGGAATATTTCATGAATATACACCACAGGATATTCAGTTGAGAATATTTCATGAATATACCGCACAGAATATCCAGTTGAGTATATTTCATGAATATACCGCACAGAATATTCAGTTGGGTATATTTCATGAATATACAACAGAGAATATTCAGTTGGAAATATTCTTGGAAGATTCATACCTGAATATTTCCTGAACATGTCCGACTATTCACTTTGGAATATTCCTTTTAGATGTTCCAGAGGCATGTATATATTCTAGGAATAATCGATGAATATTCGGAATATACTCCTCCTTTTTAGCATATTTAGAGAATATTCTATGAATATCCAGTGCTGTCTGGGCGGAGAAGCTGTGTATTGATTAATTTGTACTTTTATATATTTATTACACTGAGGCACCGAACAACACATCTTGCATTCGATATGGTCATTATTACAAACTAAATAAGTCTTCTAACACAATAAACTTCACCAAATTCCTTTCTGTTCGTTAGCAGCGTGATGTAAGCGTGACACGCTGCAAACGCGAATGCCAATTACGAACAAGAAGAACAAAATCGAAAACAAATCAGAATTCATCGTATTGTGAGGTAAGCATGAGACGTTGTGGTGGGGCAAACAAAGAAAGGGCACAAAAGAACAAAAACAATACTTTCAATATCTCTCTAAGACCTCTTTGGGAAGTGCATATTACGCCTCAAAAAAACATCCTCTCATGCCTACATTTCTAAAACATCCCAAAACATCCCAGGGATACCTCTCAGTAGGCAAACAAAGAAATGCCACAGAGGAATAAAAACAATACTTTAATATCCTTCAAAGACCTCTTTGGTTAGTGCATTATACGTCTAAAAATAACATCTTCATGCCAACATTTTCAAAACATCCCAAAACATCCCAGGGATGTTTGTGCTCGCTGGGTTTGCGTTGGTCGAAATAATCGTTCGCGTTCGCATTAGTTTTTTGGCGTCACTAGATGGCGATAACATGACTAGATCCTCTCGTACGGAAGCGCTGAATGCGAGTTCAAACTGGCAAATATGACTAATTGCCAGTTCAAACTGATAATTATAGCTAAATGCCAGTTCCAACTGGCAATT